GGGGGGGCAGAATAAACCCATGGGTGAGGTGCGTGTAGCTGGCATGACTTGTGGCTGGGGTGGTGAGGGTAGGTGCAACCTGCAGGTGGGTGGTCAGGGCAGGAATGACTTGCGGGCGGGGGGGTCAGGCATGACCTGCAGATGGGTTGGGGGAGCAGGCATAACCACCCCAGTGAACCTACACCCTCAGCCCTCCTACCCCTCTTCCCATTGGGACTTACTTGCTCAACTCTGGCAGCAGCAAACACTGATAAAAGTGGCTGCTCCCAGAGCAGCTTGTGGTATGGGGCTGAGAGTACTGGTGGGGGGGGAGGGGGGAGCAAGGGGCCATAGGGGCAAAAAGTAGGCCAGGATGGAGAAAGGGGGAGTGACAAGAGTATTCCCAGGGTTCTGGCCAGTGACTGGGCTTTCCCAGTCCTGGGGCTGCACTGGGGAAGTGGACAGAAGTTCCATGCACCAGTTTAGAATCATAGATTCATATAAAACTAGGGTTGGAAGGGACCTCAGGAGGTCATCTAGACCAACCCCTGCTCAAGGCAGGACCATCCCCAACTAGATCATCCCAGCCAAGGCTTTGTTTAGCAGGGTCTTAAAAACCTCCAAGGATGGAGCTTCCCCCACCTCTCTGGGTAACCTGTTCCAGTGTTTTACTACCCCCCTAGTAAGAAAAATCTTCCAAATATCTAACCTACACTTCCCTTGCTGTAACTTGAGACCGCTTCTCCTTTTTCTGTCATCTGCCACCACTGAAAGCAGTGGTGCTCCATTCTCTTTTGAACCACCCTTCCGGTAGGTGAAGGTTGCCATTAAATTCCCTTTCAGTCTCCTCTTCTCTAAACTAAATAAGCCCAGTTCCTTCAGTCTTTCCTCATAAGTCATGTCCTCAGCCCTCTCACCATTTTTATTATCTTTCAGTGGACCCTCTCCACTTTGTCCACATCTGTTCTATAGTGGGCGGTTGACCTAAATTGAATGAATCTGATACTACATAGATCCAGGTTTATCTTCAACCAAGTTCTTCAATTTTCAGACCAGTTTGTGTGCATGGAACTTCTGTTCTGTTACAGGTTTAGACTGCCAGTCACTGAGACCGGGTCTGTAAGTGTAAGGTCAACACTGGAATGAGCTAAGTTTAAATCAGACAGTCATTTTAAACCTGTTTTAACCTCCCCAAATGTCTGTACTTAGCCTAAAAAGCTGAAGTATTTGCTTTACTTCCTGTGAAGCCTCACTATGAAGGCCCTGATTTTTCTCCAAAGGGGCCTTCTGCTCACATACTATCTGTGTTCAGCATTCTAAACCCCTCTGCCCATATTTGCTTCTTTGAAGCATGGCTTCAGTGGATTTAAGTTGACAGTGCTGACAAACATGAGCTCTCCAGAAACTGGGTTTTGCACCTAAAACATGGAGTATGCTTATAATATTCTAAGCTGACTGTCAGACTAAAAACTTGGTTTGTCCTCTTTTTTGTTTTTGATCATTTTTAAAGAGGACTGAGTTACATATTTAAACTACTCTAGAATATGAGTGTTAAGCTGATTATGAACAACCTGTTTTGCAGCATACCACAGATACTTCCTTTTTCACAGGCCAATTCTCTGTTGCTACTCAAAACCTTAGACAATCAACAGATTCCTCCTGATAACTGAAGGGTCCGTTAGAGCACTCCTGATGGTAGGAAAAGTCAATAACGTGGATAAAAGAGAGCAGGATCTCAGCACACTTCTAATTTGAAATGGGTAGATGGTCTACAGTTAGAAAATCCTTTTATGTCACATTCAGTCCAGTTCTATAAATACACAAGTTCATTCCCACCTTGAGAAAGTGGGGGGTTTTAAGTCCATGAGAAAGCAATATCTGCCAACACACAGCATGACAAAAAATTAGACAAAAATATCGACAATATATAGAAATACATGAAAACAGTAGAGGCAAATATATTTCTCAAAGTACTGTTCAGCTCAAAGTATTCTGCTAATCATTGACATGAAAACAAATGCTAGAAAAAGAATAATTTGCTTCGTAAATGATAGAATCAGAGAAAATAATAGAAAAAAACTCAACTCATATTTGAGACTGGAAATTCTTCACATCAACCCATTTAAGCAGAGTTGGCAATGACCCCATAGGAGCCTAGTTTTACCAGACTATAGCTGTTGCTCTTCCCTCGCTCCAGAAATCACTCCTCACCTAAGCGTCTCAGTAAGGTTTAAAGCACTAAAATAAAGAATAAAAGACGCCATACCTGAGACTGTGCCCGAAGGCTGGATGGTTCATTCTGCAGCTCTTTGCGGAGAGTCCCACTACAAGGGATTTTGGCTACTTGCTCACGGCACTCAGAGTCATGCTCTTTACACAAGTAATTTTGCAACATGCTACTTCCACTCACTGCACATTCATAGAAGCTGGCACTCAGCAGGGCCGCAGCAATCCAGGTGAGTGGGGCCACAGCAGCACTTACAGTTGACAGCCATAACACTTGGAGGCAGCTTGAAAGGTGCCCAGGGCTGCTGCAGCTACACCTCTTGCGTGAGGCACAACAGCCAGTGAGCAATCTCCAGGTCCTTGTGTTCAGCAGGTAGCCGAGAAGAAAGAGAACCAAGGCAGGCATGAGAAGGAAGGTTAAGCCATACAACATGCTCCACGAATTGCAGGGACATTTGAACACTGCAATAGAGAAGATACGCTCACTGCCCGCAGTCAGCAAAGACACGGCACTGAATCCCAAAACCTTCTTGTGACCGAGGCACATATCCATTATAGTATGAAATTTCTCCATTTCTAGCTCCTGCTGCTTCTCTCTCTGATTCTTTTGTCTTTGAGCTGGATGAAATCTCACTTGGCATACTAGAATAGAAAGGGAAGTGAAACAGATCTTGCTATAAGTTAATAGAGGTGTCATTTTGTGGTACACTGTAGAACAAATGGTTTGACAATATTTAGACACAGGAAACAGCAGGTCATGCTCTGCATTCGTGCAAACAAAATAGATGAAACCAACATGCTACTTGTCCTTCTCCACGTACTAACGTAACTATTGCTGCTTCTTTAATACACCCCCAAATATTCTGGAGCGCTCCAGGGTTGGGGTGGAGGGGATACTTTAATTAGAATGGTTCTTGGAGTTGCTCTAATTAAAGCACCCAAAGACGTGGAAGCTGGCTGGAGCACACTAATAAGCATGCCCCAGCAGATCTGATTGTAATTACAGCACGTCGGAGCAACCTCCCCACGTGTACAGGCATCCCTGGAGTTTCACAATGGCTGATATAGGATTGTGACCAAATTGAGTTATACCTTAAGCTGGTTGAAATCCCTCACATAAGCATTTTAATTTTTTCATTGGCATTTTGGATGACATTTCAAAATTCAGCAAAATATTTGGAAATAAAATATGTGCATAAGTGCTATGGATCTCTGTATGTTGTTTTCAACTACTTAAACTTGCCAGCACTTAAGTTTGGCTTGTTTTTAACTAAAGCCTGATGGTGCTAAACCCATTAAATAATAACCTTCTTCTCTCCTACAATATACTATAGTTCAACTAAATCCTAATTCAAGCTCTGTACTGATGCAGTGACAACATGATTATCATCTGACACAGTTCTGCCTGACATCAGTCACTGCACCTCTCCTTTCAGAACTATAACAAAGTTTTGTCAAATGGGTGTATAAATGTAATTTTCCACTTTTGTATATATAGAGGTGTGATTTTATTTAATAAAATAAAAGGTGTGCCTTTTATTTAATAAAATTATATCCTGGGATCAATGCTACAATCATCCATCTCTGATAGTGAGTATTTCTGATTATACAGCTGCCTAGTCAGTAGCACTTTTCACAGTAGCTGATTGCTCATGCAAAGTAGTAAAAAAGTTTTCCAGGTCTACTGATTAGGTCTGCACTAGTATTGACATGTTTCAGTCCAGTTCCAACACTGTAATGTCGCTGTGTTCCCAAGGGCTCTGATTTCTAAGGTTCATGGTAACCTCTTTTATGGGACCAGAGATTGGTTTGGAGCCCTCTGGGCTAAGAACAGACAGTCAAAAAGCCTGAGGCTTAATCAATTCAATCTTTGCAGGTTAGTCTAAACTGTATAGATTGAACTGATAAGCAAGTGAACAGACATTCACTTTTGATTGCAGAAATGCAGCCACATTCCTGAAGTGGCTCAGGCCAGAAGCTCAGGGATGCTAGAGCATGCCTTCCTGTTAGGCTGGAGAATACACCATGGGCCAAAGCTAGGCCACCCACCCTGCCTGGGGGTGGAGGGGTGTGGCAAAGAAGGTGCAAAGCCTACTGGGGGGCTATGAGTTAACTTGAATCTAGAGGGGATCTGGGATGGAAGTTCAATAAACTGATTTAACATAAATCATTTAAGTCTGATACTACATCCATCCAGGTTTATCTTAAACCAGTTTTAGCCATTTGGAGAGTGGTTTATGTGCCCTGAACTTCTGTTGTGTTACAGATTTGAACCTGTTTCTGATCATTTATACCAGTTTATGTGTAATTTCTGCCCCTAGCTCTGAAGTTGTGGGAGGGTTTAAGGTTGTTAAGGATATATACCACAGTATTAGTGTTTTCACCAGTTACCTGTTCTTGGGTGATTTCAGCACAGTAGTGACCATGTGCAGACAAAATGACGGATATGTGTGCATGACACTTTAAAGCAAGCTAAATGCTTTTGCACCACTTTAATGGTGCTGGAGTTTGCACATGTCGGTGGCATATTGCGCATTAATTCCAGCTGCTCTAGGAAATTCGACAGCATAATATACTTTAAATGACATGGGGTGCAGCAAACTAAAACTCCTCTGAGGAGTTTTAGTTTGCAGCCCCTACAGCCGCGGAGCGACGTACCAGGCTCTGTGCAGCTCAGGGCTCTGCAGGAAGCCCTGCAGCAGCCCAGGAAGGCGGGCTTTGCCCAAGAAAAGCAGCGAGCCTAACTTTTTATCTTTTTTTCCCCTGGAGCCTGCCTGCCTGAGCTGCAGCTGCAGTGCCCCCTGGGGCTGCCTGAGCTGGATGCCTGCAGGTGGCTGCCGCCTGCAGAGGCAGGAGGGTTGCCACTGCAGTGAGAAGCACCAGCCCCCCCCACAGCCCAGGGACCTCTCTGCCTGCTGGCAGCTCACCCTCCCTTCCCTGCCACCAAAGAGGCAGGTAAGTCAGTGTGTGCATGACACAGGAGTTTAAAGGGCAGTAGTATATAGGCTCACTGCCCTTCAATGCAAATGTGACAGGTGGGCAGAACCAGAAGTCCCACCTCCTTAGCCCCAGCCCTTTCCCTTTGCATGGTGCGTGAGGTCACCAGCCCCGCCCCTGATGCCAGTCACGTGGTGTGTGACCTCAGCAACTCTGCCCCCACCCTTAGTCACGTGGTGCATGACATCAACAACTCTGTCCCCACCCCCAGTTACATGGTGTGTGACATCAGCAACTCTGCCCCCACCCCCCAGTCATGTGGTAGCTAAGGACTAATTAAACTGCAGCTAACTAACTAAGTCCTTTATTTGAAGTCCTTTGCAGTTAGATGAAGACTTTTTAATGACTCCAGAAAACCTACTCACCAGTACACAAGAAGGAAGTGTATGCTTCTGCAGAGAACAAAAAGCGGATGAGGCTGAAGAGTTCAGAAGACAGATAGGCATTGACTCAGCAGATCTGGTTACAACAGATCCGGTTACAACTCATGGACATAAAGTCTTCATGAAATTTCTTGTTCACATTTTCTTTTATGGCATAATGAAATACTGCTTGAGGAAGAGACTTTTTGACCTATGCTGGGGATGCACATTTGACCCAGGGAGTCAAGAAGTCCACAAATGTATTACTTGGATCAATGAAGACATAAATCAAATAATTCAGGAATTTTGCCAGGAAATATGTCTTGATAGCATTTTCACTGCTGTTATAACCATTGGATTTCCCAGGAACATTCTCAGAATTACTGAGAAACATTTAATTCAGGTTAGAGAGCTTCTAAACACTGTGTATTCTGCAGAAGATCCTAATGCTGCCCTTCATGATTTGATCACTGAGAAAGATAAAACACTCATACCCCAGATTGAACACTTAATTGCCACTAAAGATTATAAAACCCTGCTTAAGAGAAGGGCTTAGCAAAAACAGTTTAAAATGGGGGGGCTTATATCTTTTGCTGATCTTGGTGGGAGGCTGGGGGTTGTGAGGTAGATTAGCATTCGCTTTAGTGTTTTGGATCTCTAATCACATACATATAGGGTTTTTTGTAAAGATAAAACCAATGAGACTTAATGGTTACTAGAAATGATTTAAAAAAAAAACCTTCTTAGGAGAAGGGGTAACAGAATAAACTAGTAAATATTGTAAAAGTTTTTGATGGAAATAAAGACTGAATTTAAAAATATATACTGTCACAGCTTTTGTATGGTAGGGGGGTGGCTGGGATATGTGTTATAAATATAAACCAGACCACAAAAAAAAAAAAAAGATGACCATTGTGTTCAGAGCTCTTCCTGTTTTAAGACTAAAGGAGTTATCTTTTACCAAAAGGCCTGCTGTAAATATAAGGCCGACAAGGCTTAATGGTCACAGGAAATGATAAAAAACACTTCTTAGAAGAAGGTTTAACAAAAGAAATCAGTAAATATTATAAAAGTTTTTGATGGAAATAAAGACTGAATTTAAAAACGTCTCACAGATTGTGTATGATATGGGGTGGCAGGTGTGTATCATAAAGATAAACCAGATCAAAAAAAGAAAAAAGAAAAGCTGACCAGTGTGTCTAGATCTCCACATATTTTAAGACTAATGGGATGGAGTTGTCTTTTAGTGGTGACTATTTTAATACAGTTATATTTTACTTTATACATACACTATTTTCCTTCATCTATTATTTAATTTTTTAATACAGAGGACTTACTTATTGTATCATTTCCTTTATATTACACTGAGCTTATCAGGTGGGGAAGCCCCATGCAATTTTACCATAGCAAGGTAAAAATTATTTAAAAATGGTGGGTTATTTGTGACTGTGTTACTATAATCACACTAAGTTATAACAACTGTTTGTAACTGTTTTCAAACAGAACCTCTTCTTCTAAAATAGAAAAGCAGAACAAGCACATGTTTTTATCCAGTAGTAAAAGGTAATTTTTCTGAAATCAGCTTCTGAAAATTGATGTGTTTCTTGTGGGAGGAGAAGCCGTGTGTAGGGGTTAAGCAAATTTTGAATTTGTAGTGTGTGAGGAAAGTGAATTCTCAATGCTGAGATGTAAATTTTATATTTCCTAAGAGATCACACTCACCACTCCCGATGAAGAGCGGGGAGCTGGGCAGAGACCTCTAAAAGCACAAGCAAAAACCCTAGAAATGCTCAGCATGCAGATCGTAATACCCAAGGATCAGAAGACCACCGGGACAGAACAGAAGGGTATGACTCCTCAGAGGAAAACAAGCCACATACCTCTGAGAAAACCATATGTAAGACAAGGAATCACACCCCCAAAACAGGTGATCCGGACCCCATGAATAAGAAACCCAGGACTGATTACTCACACAATTAAGAGAAAAAGGAGAGTCTTTCTCCTTTTTTGAAAGATCATGATTATTGTGAAAAAAGAGGGTGGTTTGGGGTTATACTGGCAGGCGCATACATCTCAGAAAGAGCGTGCAGAGCACTTTGAAAGATCATGATTACTACCAGAGCAAAAGGGTAAATTTTACTCAGAGAGGAGGTAGTCTGTGTAATTCGGACAGCAGACATGGCCTGTATCATAAGAGGGAGAGTCATGGTAAACATGGGGGTAAGAGTGGGTGGGGAACCAGCAAGTGGCTCGTGGAACGAAAAGTAAGGGCCTGGTTAAAGAGGAGCGTGGGGAAGGCTAAACACTGGT